AGTGACTGACTGGCTCTTTTCATCTTTGGTAATAATAACATACATACCATGAGCTGTAAAGGGTACATGAGCATTTGTCTACATCAATAACCCATTTCTTGTAATTGCTAAAATTAAACTGATTGCAAAATTAAACTGATTGAATCTTTGCGCAGCCATTCGGTACAATGGTCTAAAAAGCAAACTATTACTTACTGGCTATATAGCTCTTAAGTCGATTCGACAACTAATAGTCGTTATTTTCCCACTTTAGACATTTTCAAGACCCCCCTTTTTTTAGGGAAGTTCTTATTCAGTATTTACGTACGCAAGTGCGAGGGAGCATAGTGAATGAGAGGGGTGAAGGTGACGGCGGTGACTACCCCTCACAGGTTTTTTTGAAGTTATGTTGTATTAAACAATTATATTCCTTAGCAAAACTATAGTATAAAAACAAGCAATACACTTTTTTTCACACTTTAATTTTCTCGGTATTTACTTGTACATTTAGAAGTATATTATGCGAGGGAGCGTAGCTTCCGAGTGAGAAGATTTTTGCATTTTCATTTGTCTAAACGTTGCACTCTTGGGCCATCCAGAGCCTAAAATTGTGTTGCAGTCTTTAGTCAGTATTTGCTCTACATTTTTGAGGGGCACCTTTTCAAATTTTGAGGGGGGGGGGGGGACGATCCCTCCTAAAAAAATTGAGAGGGGAGGGGACGTGGTCAACACATATAACCAAAAACAGAAAATAAATTATCAGACATTTATTCCGCGGGTCACTATAAAACAAAATCAAACAGAAAAGAGAATAAGGGAAAGAATTTTAATTTAATTTCCAAAAATACACATGAACTGGAGTTACATATATTGAAACAATAACCATCAAATAAAATATTTCCATCAAAGAATGCCTTGCCCTTGGGATTAATTACACACACACACACACACACACACATTCTCACTACCCCTCTCCCACACCCTCTCCGCACAACCGATTCACACGTAAGATGTTTCCTACCAAATTCTGATGAATTAAATGCATGCCAAAATAACAATGGCTGCGTTTCCATTAAAAAACCCAATAGCTTGCGATTAGAAATAATCAATTTCTCGATAAATTGCCGCCGCATACAATATGACTACAATTACAGCTGATTGACTAGTTTGGTAAGTGATGCGTTTGTGCCGGCAGTGTTCCATCGAGCGAAAATGAGACTACCGGAGCAATATGGAGGCAGCATAGATGTACGTGTAGATATCTGGGTGTTGCCTAACGATTATAATCATTTGAGAAGTCAGTATCAGCACTCCACCATGAGGGGAGTGCTGCATCCATGCATACGTACGCAACAGACGTCGGTTTGGTATTAGATTGTAAATAACCACTACTCCGACACACTCAATCACATATCAAACCTCATTTAAAGCGAAGTATTCGTATAGACAACGACAACGAAAGACTAACATTGTGAATTCCTACCTTTTATAAAAAAAGACCAAATTTCCAATACAGAGGTTAAGATTATGAGCACCTCCATTATGCTGCTTCTTAGGTATCGCACAACTATGAACTCAACGGAAGGAGAAAATTGTGTCATGGCGAAACTCAAGTGATGTTCATAGACGGCTCAATATGAAACCTTGTTTACATAGTACAAAAAAAAACAAATGAATCGATGGTTAAATCCAATGGTGAGAACGATGGCACTGACTGATTTGTGATGAAATGTGCCTAGTGTTTTTATGCATTTTAGAACAAATATTCGTTTAAGATGTTGTTTTGTGTAGTAAGGCCACTAAATTTAACAATAGCTCCCAATTATAGGTTGAAGAGGTAAGAAATAGATTCTCTAGAAATAATGTTCATAAACAAGTTTTTAATGACACTAGGCTTGATGATAGTGATCCAGAAATAGAAATAAAAGTCGATGAAAAACTAGATTTGTAATACTTGTTTAGAACAAGTATAGGTGGGCTGATCCAACACAAAATTGAGACAAAATGAAGGGTACATTTGAGATAGCTTTTTGTCTCAGCTACAACATACTCGAAGGTCAGCGTAAATGAAGCTAAAACGACGTAGATATTGCTCGCAAAAGACGGGAATGTAGAATCAAGTTTTGAGAAAAAGTCATGTCCCATAGAGAATACACGCAAAATGAAAAAAATTGACATGCCTCCTTTAATCGCAAAAATACGCCATGATGCCTTTGTCAAAATGAAAAATCGTGGCCACTGGATTTGTAGAGAATTGTCACAGCTAGAACATATCCAAAATTTGAAGAAAATCGATGAACTTTTACAAAGATACAATCAATTTTCCAAAAATATGCTGACGTCATAATATGCAAATTGAAATTTTGAGTTCGGAGGCCATTATGATGACGTCATGAGTTAATTGAGGGTCAAATGAGACATGAAATCATATCTCCGATTCATATTGAATCAAAATATGAAAACAAATTGGGGTCACCTTGCATCCTAAAGAGCTACAATGAATTTTGCATAGGCATGTTTTTGCCCATATATGCTATGTATTACAAGAGCTCGCGCGCACGGAAATATGTTTAACGGTTGATCATTCCGTCATTAATAGTCATAAAGAGATAAACATGCTCTCAATTTGTTTGTAAAAATATGTGGAATATTATGAAAGAAAAAAAAATGGCGATTCTATGTTTTGCAATAGTTTTACGCGCGAAAACGCGCACGCATGTGCGTGTGCGCGATTTTTTTATTAAATGCTTAGAATGGCCTAAAACGTATGCAAAATGATTTTGAGACGATTTTGAGCATTTCAAAATTTTACGCGCGCATTGACGCGCGGACGTACGCGCACGCTCGCGTTATTTGACCTGCAATTCACCGGACGGATATTGACCTTGATCATGATAAATATGAATGAGAAATACCTTTTGGTTATGAAGATATGATCATGAGTTGATTTTCGTAACATTTTACAAAATGGCGCCTAGATGACGTTATCAGTCGAGGTCAAGGTTGAAAAAAATTCTGTGCTTTTTACATATGCCTTTACATATGTGTGCCAAATTTCAAGGCATTTGATCCAGCCATTTTCAAGTAATCTTGTCCACAATAAAGTGGTTAGAAATAAGAAAAATATTTAATAATAAATAATAAATAAATAAAGGCAATTCTAACGAAATTATAAGGTGGTCTGTACGTTATACAGCCCACCTGATAATAAAGAATAATAAAGGCAATTTTAACAAAATTATAAGGTGGTCTGTATTAGATACAGCCCACCTAATAAATAAATAAAGGCAATTCTAACGAAATTATAAGGTGGTCTGTACGTTATACAGCCCACCTGATGATCGTAACAAAAAGGATGGAGGAGTGGCTATGTACAATCATAAGAGGGTTTTTTTTTTACTCAGATAGAAGCTTCTTCTGCTGTTATATATTTTTGAAGATTGTTTTTGAACGAGATAATTCACTGCCTTTTTTATAAACTGGTTTATATCTCATAATGTATATAGTGAGACTTTAGATTGAGGGACATGAGGCAAATACCATTATAATGGGAGATACAAATTTCACAATATAGCTACGATATTAAAATCTCGTTCAGAGACATCTTTATAAATACACTATAGTAGTCACTTCGCATTAGTGCGCGCACGTTGCTGCAGTGCCGAACTGAACAGGAGGCCACCATCTTAATCCAGGGGAAAAAACTCGCCTACCCGGATTATAACGTGTGAAGCTATGGGAGCGAGTTAGATTAATTACTTTCCTGTACTATTTTCTTCGGTTTAACGGCTGTATGCAAAGTCTTCTTCTTCTTCTATGTGCCATATCCTAAGACGTTGGCGACCATGGAGTGCCACAACTCTCTATCCCATATTCTATGAAGTAATTCATTCTCCCCGAGATCAATTCCACATTCAGAAATCCCACTCCTTAAGCTACTTATCCACAGAATCCTCCTTCTACCCCTACTTCTCCTCCCCTCGATTCTTCCAGTCAGTGCAAGATTTTCCAAACCATTCTTCCGTATAACATGGCCCAAGAAGCTCAGCTGTCGACTTCTTATATTATTCAGAAGCTTTCGTCTTGTTCCTGCCATGGCAAATACCTCATCATTAGAAACTCTTTCTGTCCATGAAATTCTTAGCATCCTTCTCATGAACCAAACTTCACAACTTTCCAGTCGTTTTCTTAGGTCTGATGTCAGGGTCCAAGCTCCACAGCCATACATTAGAACTGGGTACACGTAGCAATTGAGTACGCGGAGTCTCGTTTTCATCTTCAGCTTATTATTCTTTAGGATGTTTTCTAACTTGGAGAAAGTTGATTTTGCAAGTGCAATGCTTGATATCTTGCTCGCCTCTTGCATCGTCGGTAATTGTAGTCCCGAGGTAAGTAACAGAGGTGGCTTGCTTTATTTGATTGTTGTTGATCTTAAGAGAGCATGGTATTCCTCCCTTCTTTGAAATAACCATGCATTCCGTTTTCTTGTAATTTAATGATAATCCTCTCTTGTCACTTTCTCTGACGACAACGTCCAAAAGTCGCTGCAGGTCCTTCTCCGATTCTGCGATTAATATAGTATTATCCGCATACCGTATGTTTGTGATATTATGTCCTCCTACTTTCAATCCTCTTTCCTGTTCTAGGTTTCTAAGTATCAACTCACTGTAATAATTGAAGAGATCTGGAGACATGACACATCCCTGTCGAACCCCCTCTTAATGTTGATGTAGTCACTTAATTCTGTTTCTACCCTAACACACGCTGTTTGCTCCCAATACAGATTTTGCAATAACTTGATATCCTTTGTGTCTAGCCCAATCTTGGTTAAGTCTTCAAATAACTGATCGTGTTTCAAAGGCTTTTGTATAGTCGATGAAACACAGGAAGACGTTTTTCTGCATTTCTACGGCCCTTTCTGCTATAGACCGCAGAACAAAAACAGCATTTCTAGTTCCGTCATCTCTGACAAAACCAAACTGCACATTACTAATTTCTGAAGTTAGGTGATTCCTTGCTCTTTAAAGTAGAACATGCAAGATGATCTTTGTAATATGGCTCATGAGGCTGATGATTCTATGTTGCCCGCATTCCACTACTCCAGGTTTCTTGGGAAGTGTAATAAATATCGATTTGCACAGGTCATCTGGAAACTTTCCATCACCATAGATGTTAATGATGACTTCAGTTAGTTTCATGACACCATAGTTCTCCAATGCTTCGACCATCTCCATTACTACTCCATCAGGACCATCAGCTTTGTTCCTCTTCATCACGCTGATCGGTGACCTCACTTCTGAGAGCAGAATCCTAGGTCCTTCAATAGATCCTGCACAGTGTGGAGGTTCTTTTCTTACATCATCAAAAAGCTCGCCAATGTACTCAGTCCATCTGTTCAGTATCTCTTCCTTTTCAACTAGTACTGATCCATCCCTTGCCTTGATGCATCCCGGCTTGGAGCTCCGAAGTTTCTTTCCAGAAAGTTCATCTACCTTCTTAAAAACCCTGGGATCGTTTGCATTAAAACTTTTCTCTATCTCGGCGCACTGTTTGTTCAGCCATTCCTCTTTAGCTTTTGTGCAGTGGTCGTGAATTTCTCTGTTCAACTCTCTGTAATGACATCCATCTCTGTCCTTGATCTTCTGCCTTATACTCATCTTTGCTAGAATCTCCTCCGTCATCCATCTCTGTTTACTTTTCTTTTCCTTTTTAGGTAATGTCTCTTCAGCTGTTTCTACAAGAATGTCCCTCATTGATTCCCAAGTGACCTCCTCTCCCTGGTCGGTGAGACTATCGAATCTGTTTTGTACTTTGGCAGTATATCGGCGGCGCACATCACGATTCTGTAGCTGTTCGAAATCTACCTTCTGGATTGACTTGGCTTTTGTCATCTTCTTTAGCTTACATTGCAGAGTTGCCACAACAGGAATGTGATCACTCTTACAGTCTGCTCCCGGATATGTTTTAGCTTGTGATGTAGTCAATCTGATATCCTGCACGATCCCCGGGGCTTTTCCAAGTATATATCCTTCTTGGATGTTCCTTGAACCATGTATTGACAATGACCATTTCTTTGGCCTCGCACCACTCTACCCATATGGTACCCCTTTCATTTCTGTCTCCAATACCATATGGCCCTACTGTTCTACCATATCTGCCTCTTCCCACCTTGGCGTTCATGTCTCCCATGGCGATTACAATTTCATTTGATTTACATTGTGATTTGGCTGCCTCTAATTGCTCATAAAAAATGTCGATATCTTCATCTGTGCTTTCCGCTGTGGGTGCATAAACCACTATTATTGCCATGTTGAGAGGTTTCCCTTGTAATTTGACCAACAAGACTCTGTCGCTGACTGCCCAAAAGCCCAGAACACAATTAGCTGTGAATGGATCCAGAAGCACACCTACGCCTCTTTCATGTCCTGAATAGAACATCTTATGTTTTTCAACTGTGAATTCTCCACTGCCAGTCCATCTTGTTTCACTAATGCCTAGAATATTAATTCTCATCCTGTTCATTTCTTGCACGACGTTGTCCAATTACCCTTTCTGATAGAGAGTGCGTGCATTCCAGGTGCCGATGCGCATGATGTTACGGTTGCGGACAGACGCTGAATGACGATCGGGTCCCACCTGTCGCACATGGGAAGGCTTACCGAGCGAGTCACCTCTATTTCTAGAGGTTCCCTTCACGCCGTTCTCTTTGACTTTGAATTGTGACTTTCCATGGTATATCTTGGGAAGAATAGTGAAGGTGGTTTCCCGTGGCCTTCCTCACCGCAGTGTGGTAACCATGAATATATCCATGTGAACACCAGTTCTGAGAGACGCCGTTGTCCCCGATAGGATCATCCGCCTGAACTCTCGCTGCATCGCTGCTGCCCAATGCAGTCCCTTTTAGTCGCCTTTTACTACACGCAGGAAATACGTGGAGGGAATTATATGGCACTCACTCCCAGGCAACTTTAAAGTCATACGGCGGAATATGTTCATGTTTTATCATGTGATCTGCTTTTTTTTAGAGACGGATTGAACCTATAAAATAGGGAAAAAAACAATGAGAATCATGGTTTTATTCAAGTGTTATATCCATTGATGATGGCGATGATTATGATGATACCAATGGTGATGATCATTGCTATATGGTTATAATGATGATGATAGCAATGTTGATGGCAATGATCATGACGATGGCGATGGCGATGATCATGATGGCTATAGTGATAATGATGACGGTGATGATGATGGTGGCAATTGTGATGGCGATCATGACAGTGATTATGATGACGGTGATTATGATGATGATGAGGGCGACGATCATGATGGTGCTTTGGTGATGATGATGGAGACGTTGATTATGATGAGGGCGATGCTAATGGTGGTGATCGATCATGGTGATGATGATGATAATGATCATGACGGCGATGATTGTGATAATGATGTTGAAGGTGAAAACTAGAATCTTGTTTTAGTTGCGCTTTTTCAACCCACCGCACATTAAAATTTATATCCGATGGTCATTAACACATATAACCAAAAACAGAAAATAAATTATCAGATACATATACCGCGGGTCACTATAAAACAAAATCAAACAGAAAAGAGAATAAGGGAAAGAATTTTAATTTTATTTCCAAGAATACACATGAACTGGAGATACATATATTGACACAAGAACCATCAAATAAAATATTTCCATCAAAGAATGCCTTGCCTTTGGGATTAATTACCGAAATAAATTAATGTTTAAGACTCTTCTCATTAATCCAGTACTGAAAAATATAAAAACACATTTCAGAACTTTTACAACCAACCGCCTACGATACAACCATGGAAATTATGAGCAGGGATGGGAACAATTATTTTTTTATTTTTCAATTACAATACCAATGTCAATCGCATCCCCCCGAAAGTTTGTATTTTCACATATACTTCACAAATATACATTTGAGAAAGAAAATATGTCTTCTTTGTTAAAATGATATCATTAAAAAAATAGCACATGATTATATAGATTAATCCCTCCCCACTGTCCCCTATTTATTTTAGAGCTGGTATTCTATATTGTACTTGGATACGTAATCGTATCCGCATCCAACAGTACTTTCTGTACACTCCTATTAGTATTTAGCGCATGAGTAGCATACACAATAATAAGTATGTGGGGGCAATACAAAGCCTCTACGTCCGGGGGTTACGCACCAGAGAGTTATACGTGCATATCCCTAATCACCGTCTATCCTCCGTGCGTGTTCATGTATAGCGCACGGACTGGTTGGACCTCACAGTACATCGATAATCGACGCAAAGCTAGATATAACGTAGTATCCCCCGGATGGCACGTGACGTCATACTCAGATGACCCACGCATATCGTTTGTGTCACTGCTATTGAATATGTTGGAATGAACATGGTGTTGTATTTACCGTGTTCCTGACCGATATAAAGAAATACAACAAAGGAAACAGTGATGGTTTGAAGGTTAGAAGGTTTGTATATTTATCATCACAATGAACCAAATTACTGTTTGATGCAGTAGCGTTTTCATATATTTTTTTTAATGCTGCATATCGTAAAGTTGCTATGTTTTTTAGACTGTTTAAATGCTCTTTTTAAAGCATTTAACGTAAAAAAAATCTTGATGTTTTGTAAAGATGGATTATCTGGTCTACCTTCTTCATATTGGTACATAAATGAAAAAAAAAATCCATAGAGAAATATTGATGCAATCGAAATTTTCATGTACCAATGTTTTCTGCTTATTGTACGGTATTACCGAACATAGCTTGCATACGACTTGTGTAAATACGTGCGGATTCGCGGGCGCTGCGGACTGACTGATATGGACAAGGTTTTTTTAGTAGATATTTCTTAACCAAGTATTTTATATTTAGCAAAGCAATCTCACATATAGGATCTAGGACACCTACCCCGGCCCTAGACATCCACCTCGGATAACTACCCTCCAGTCAACTACCCCCTAGGACAACTACCCCGAGGGCAACCACCTTAAGGCAACCACTGTCTAGGACGACTGCCCCTGGCACAACTACCCCCGGGAAACCACCCCAAGACAACTACCCCCTAGGACAACTACCCCCGGATAACTAACCCTACGACAACGATCCTCTAGGACAACTACCCCCGGACAACTATCCTTGGGGGAAGTTGTCCTAGGGGGTAGTTGTCGGGGGGGGGGTAGTTGTCCTAGGGGATAGTTGTCCTAGAAGGTAGTCGTCCTAGAGGGTTATTGCCCTAGCGGGTAGTTGACTGGGGTGGTTATCCAGGGGATGAATGTCCAGATGTTTATTGTCTAGACTTTGATGTAGACAGTTTACTCGTCATTGTACATTTACGGATAGCCATCTGTCATTTATTGATCGTGAATTGTTGACATACACACACACACACACACACACACATTCTCAGCTCCCCTTTCCCACACCCTCTCGGCACAATCGATTCACACGTAAGATGTTACCTACCCTATTCTGATGAATTAAATGCATGCCAAAATAACAATGGCTGCGTTTCCATTAAAAAAACCCACTAGTTTGCGATTAGAAATAATCAATTTCTCGAAAAATTGCCGCCGCTTACAATATGACTACAATAATAGCTGATTGACTAGTTTGGTAAATGAAGCGTTTGTGCCGGCAGTGTTTCATCGAGCGAAAATGAGACTACCGGAGCAATAAGGAGGCAGCATAGATGTACGTGTAGATATCTGGGTGTTGCCTAACGATTATAATCATTTGAGAAGTCAGTATCAGCGCTCCACCATGAGGGGAGTGCTGCATCCATGCATACGTACGCAACAGACGTCGGTTTGGTATTAGATTGTAAATAACCACTACTCCGACACACTCAATCACATATCAAACCTCATTTAAAGCGAAGTATTCGTATAGACAACGACAACGAAAGACTAACATTGTGAATTCCTACCTTTTATAAAAAAAAAAGACCAAATTTCCAATACAGAGGTTAAGATTATGAGCACCTCCATTATACTGCTTCTTTGGTATTGCACAACTATGAACTCAACGGAAGGAGAAAATTGTGTTATGGCGAAACTCAAGTGATGTTGGTAGACGGCTCAACATAAAACCGTGTTTACATAGTACACTGGACTGGGGTGGTTATCCAGGGGATGAATGTCCAGATGTTTATTGTCTAGACTTTGATGTAGACAGTTTACTCGTCATTGTACATTTACGGATAGCCATCTGTCATTTATTGATCGTGAATTGTTGACATACACACACACACACACACACACATTCTCAGCTCCCCTTTCCCACACCCTCTCGGCACAATCGATTCACACGTAAGATGTTACCTACCCTATTCTGATGAATTAAATGCATGCCAAAATAACAATGGCTGCGTTTCCATTAAAAAAACCCACTAGTTTGCGATTAGAAATAATCAATTTCTCGATAAATTGCCGCCGCTTACAATATGACTACAATAATAGCTGATTGACTAGTTTGGTAAATGAAGCGTTTGTGCCGGCAGTGTTTCATCGAGCGAAAATGAGACTACCGGAGCAATAAGGAGGCAGCATAGATGTACGTGTAGATATCTGGGTGTTGCCTAACGATTATAATCATTTGAGAAGTCAGTATCAGCACTCCACCATGAGGGGAGTGCTGCATCCATGCATACGTACGCAACAGACGTCGGTTTGGTATTAGATTGTAAATAACCACTACTCCGACACACTCAATCACATATCAAACCTCATTTAAAGCGAAGTATTCGTATAGACAACGACAACGAAAGACTAACATTGTGAATTCCTACCTTTTATAAAAAAAAAAGACCAAATTTCCAATACAGAGGTTAAGATTATGAGCACCTCCATTATACTGCTTCTTTGGTA